CGCTCACCCACTCCAGCGGGTTGTCCAATCTGCATCTCTAGCTTTGCCCCAGTCCAGGCATAACTAAGGAAATAGCTATAAGTAAAGAAAGATCTGAACTGGTTAAGTAATGGAAATTTATGGGATAAACTTATGTCCAAAGATCTTCTGGAGAGAAGCTAAGAGAAACCAGGACAAAAGAATAAAGGACATGCAGAGAACGGTGTGTCTGTGTCTGTCTGGGGAAAAGAATCTTGCTATTTCTTCTGTAAGCTCTTCTCTCAGAAGCCACTTTGAATATATTTCTGCTGGGTAGTAGAAACTATGCCTGCCAGCCAAATTCACTCATGGTTTGTGGGTCTTCTGTTCTTTTTATACTCATTTTACAACTGAAACCTAATTAGTCCTGCTAAGTCATGGTTTAATTGTAGCCATTGAAAAATCCAGAGTGGCTGGGTTCACAATACTGTTAAGCTGTCAGACGTGGTTTAAAAATCCACAGTGGCTGACAAGTTTACATCTTATTAGGCATAATCCAAACCACATTAAGGTTTAGTGCAATGTCAGCCACATTTCAGTGGACCTCATCAGTGTCCAGTCTTTGTCCAGATATTCAGAATAACTCTGGAAGCGCCTGTTTTCAGAATGGTTTGGCATTTTCACTGAATTAATAGGGATCAGACCTACAGACCTATACCTTAGCATAAAACATCAACTTCATTATATCCTCAACTTCACTTTTGACAGTGTCACTGCTTGAATTCTCAGGGGAGGGTGTAAGCTGGAAATCTGATTCATCCAGAATAAGCTGTGGAAAGTCAAGGAAGGCGCAAGGTCCCTGTAGCAGCTGCTGCCCTTCATCTGACTGGGAAAAAAAAGGATCTAAGAAAAAAAGGAAAAAGAACAAATTAGTAGAACTAAAGTCAGAAAAACAAATGGGAGAAATCCAAAGGAAAGGAGAGAAAATGGAAACAATCCCCCGCCCCCCAGGAGGATTACTTCTGGGACAGCAGTTTCCCAACTAAGAGGGCCCAGATCCATTACTTACCGGCAAGCAGAATGTCTTCCATTTTATACTCAGAATTCTCCAGGAGACCATTGGGTATCAACACATTGCTTAACTCCTCCACTTCTGGCATCTGAGTCTCCCCTGGTTGCCTAGATGGAGGTGAATTAGTAGGAGAGGTGAATTAGTAGGAGAAAGGAAAAGAGAAGCATTCCACCACCTTCAGAAGCACCCATAATTGGGATGGGTGGCAGGGACTTCTCTGCCATGGCACCCAAGTCGGGGAATTCTCTTCCTAAAGAAGTTCAGTTGAAACCCCTAAAAACCTCTTTTAAGATTGAGGCAAGCAGCTAAGATTTTATTTCTCCAATTTTTAGAATTGGAGAAATTTTAAAATTTCTCCAAATTTTAAAACATGGTTCAAGAGCGTTGCCCCCAATTGACTGATTTATATAAAAAGACTTTTGAGACAGCACCTCCTTTGGTGCAAGGCAGCAGCAGCAACGGCCTTATGCCAGCGGTCCCATCCATTCCATTCCAAAGAGGCCCACCTAGCCAGCCTCTGGTTTAGGGAGAGAGGGATTAGCTAAACTAGGGAAGAACGCAACCCAAAGACCAGATTCATCACTGTTGTGCAGGACACATGATGTCAGGAAGACCCATTTGCTCTCTGAACTTCCCTTTCCTGGTCATCCTTTCCTCTAGTCAAGTAAAAAAAAGAACCCGTGATTGACCAACTTCCCAGCAGAAGCACCTACAATTCCCAGCTCCCAACTGAGAGGGAGAATGGGAAGAGCCTTATTCAAAGCCCCAGCCAGATGGCCCAGATAAGAACAGCAAGTGAGAGGTCCCCTGTGCTCAGTAAGGAACTATTCATTCATACCATACTCCTCAGTATTTACTCTTTCCCAGGGCAGTGAGTCTACGATGAATAGCGATAAACATTATTTATAAATGAAAACAACACTGGACTACAAAGGTGTGAAGAAATGGACTAAGGATCAGCTTACGTTAACTATACTATCATTTTATTTACAGATACCATATTGCATATATGTTTTGCATTGTATTTCGCTTGTAGCTCCTTTAAATATGGACTTCTTGTTATGATGCCTGTTGGTGATTAAGAACCTATAGAATGTATGCTTTGAGTAGAAGCAGCAGATTCAAGGATGTGTATTGATGTGCTTCCTTATCTCACTCTTTCTCCTCTGCTGGTGAAGGACAGAGACAGCTCCGTTAGAATAACAACCGGAGCCCTGGTGCCTCTCATAGAGCAAAGCTGATGTGCTGCGTGCTAAAGACCGTATCTGCAGTGCTTTCACACTGAATGGATACACATTCTCTTGTACCCTTATCAGGTGTAAAGCAATTCTTTCTTTATTGAGAATTCCTATTAATGTATTTATGTGCTCAAACTGTCTTCAGTCAGCATGAAGATCTATGTAAGTTTGGGGCTTTTACACTTGGTTCATCTGGGTGCAAGGGATCAGTGACGAACTATAATCTGCCAGCTGTGGTTCCTCTGTGGTTGTTGGCTTTTACTGGGTGAGTTTTCCAGAAAAAAATGCAACATTATAGCCATAGGCTTAGTCAAATTTAATCAGCAAGACTGGGTAAACCCTCTCCCCTTGCCTCCATATACTTTCACAATCACATTTGAATAAAATGTGCTTTGTATACACTGCTGCATATATATTTTGTATATTCAGGGAGACCCAGATTCAAGATTCCACTCGACCGTGGAGCCCATTACTGAATGACTTTGAGCAAGTTACTTGCTCTCAGGCCCACTTATTACATAGGGTTATTTTTGATGATAAAATCAGGGGAAATCCTAATATAAGCCCCTTTATACTCTCCGACAAAATATACTGCTATTATTATTTTAAAAATATAACCATAACATACTGCAGAACTTTTTAGTCTAGTATATTCCATTTAAACCAAGTTCCATTCAAGTTCCATTCAAACCAAGTTTGGAAACATCTGTATCAAGGGCATCAATTCTAACTTCTCTTAGCCTTTGTAACAATGAAAAGGTTTTATAAATGCAGACATGGGATTCAGAGAAATATGAGGGAAAGCATGTTAATGGAAAACAATTATCCTACTACCCCCAAGCAATCTGTCTCAGAAACTGGGGGACTCTTCAGAATGGGGAGGGAGGGAAGGAAGGAAGGAAGGAAGGAAGGAAGGAAGGAAGGAAGGAAGGAAGGAAGGAAGGAAGGGGGCAATGGGGTGGGAAGCACTATCTGCTTGCATTTTCTCTGAATCCACGTCAAGGCCTTTGTAGAAGGCCTTTCACCCTATGAGATGAAACAGGGTTATGTCTCATGTCTATCAGGAGGTACAGAGCCCAGGAGAAATGGGTTCACACTAGATTGCCGGATTCAGGTGAACCAAAGACAGTTTGGGAGTGGTGCAGGGGATAATTATAGCTACACACTGGCAGAGGCAAAGAAAGGAGAAGATGGTGTTGCTTACTTAGAGGAGACTCTGATCAGGCGGCGGTTCAAGTATTTTCTTTGTTCCATCATGCTTGCTGGAAAGAAAGGACAGGATGTGAAGGATGGAGAAGAGCATCACTACCAACACTTTACAGTCCTTGCACCAGATTTAACAGACTTTCCTTGAGAGCAAAAGGCCCAAAGACTGCACAACCATTACCCAGTAGCATGCTGGGAAGAAATCCTGAAATGCATATCCTTACTGCGGAGATAAATGTTTGGACCATGATTTTATTCAGACCAAAGTATGAATATTTCAGAGGGACTCTGTGTAACTGATGGAAGTGTGGCATGGAAAGGGGAAATGCTAACCTTTTGCCTCAACTGTTGCAATTTGAATGAAGAAGGAAGATCCCATGTTTACTAATGGGAGGTTTACTTGCCATGCCAATAGCAGCAGGCTGCATACCTGAGGCATCACCTGTCTTTGCCTCCTTGAAACTGTAAACCCACCGGAAAAATTCAGGTTGCTCTGTAACGCATCATTATAATCAACAATATCATCCCTGACAAAATGTACTTTAAACCTTCCCTATCCAAACAATTAAATTCACTAGATGTCAAGTTCCACAAGGAGCAATTCTGGAAATATCAGAAAACATATAAACCCATCAATGGGAAAATGCAGCTCATCTGAGTTGCAGGGCATAAATAGAATCCCAGTGGAAATTGCCCCAGGAAAAGCTGACAGGCTCCAATACCTTCCCGGCGTTCCTTATAATAAGGACCGAAAGCTTCATCCCGTGGAATGTCTGGATACAGGTAGAGGAGTGGATTCTCTGGGATGTCCTTCTCAGCCAGGAGTTGGTAATCTCGGATGATATCAGGCAGCGAAAGGGATTTTAGCTCGTTTCTGGTGTAGGGCTCAACTGACTGGACCACCGGAGCACCTGCAGACATTGGGCTCTCAGTGACATGGAGAAATTCCTGCCCCATCCTGAAATCTGAATCTGGGGGGCAATGTGCTTGACGAGAGGAGCATGGCCTCCAGATGGCATTGGAGGAGCAGCTCTGGATCCTTTTCATTTGCTATTCTCATTTTTACGTACTGTTAATTTATTTTTTATACACTGTTAACGCCTGGGAAGTGACTTGTCTCCATCGGCTACAACTCACTAACGTTGGCCTCATAGATATCGTAAGTGAAGGAAATTTATGAAAGGAGTCAAGAATGGGAAAAAGGAAAAAGACACAACGTGGTACACTCCACAACACAGATCCCACCCAAACCTTGGAAGCAGCAGGAAATGGATAGATCTACAACAGACAGGAAACCTCCGTAAGTAACTCTGACCTTACCTACTTCCCAGATAGATGTAACTCTTACAACTCTTTGGAATGGGATCTACAGAGACTGAAAGTCAACAGGTTACAGACTTTCCTCTTCCCCGGTGGAGGATCCCGCCCCCCCCCACACCTTCTGCAAGATAGGGATGATATGAACTTTAAAAGAGAGAACGAGACAGACTTTGTAACAAGGCAATACCTGCTAACAGCACAATGGTGCTTGATGAGAGAAACGGTAGGAAAGGGGAGTCAGTCGGCCCCCAAAGACTCAGACATGAAAAGTTAAGGGAAAATTTAAATCTGACTTGTTAATTTTGATGGTGAGCAGAGACCATCAGAGTCTGTGAAAAACTCTGAGGAACCAATCTGTAGCAGGAAAATTCCTCTCTTAGAAGGATTTTTAAAAGAGGAAAGGAGAACTCCTTTAAACTTTTGCTCTGTTATCTTCCATCCTCAGTGAAAAAGGTATCATTTATCAGTTTGATTTCTGCCAGCTAAGAAAAATGTCCCAGCCCAGAGGAGGCCTGCAGAATCAGAAGAAAATAGCCATATGGAAATATGGAAGTACAGTAGATATAGATCAGGAACTTTTTCTTAGATTTCTTCCTTTCTACTTTTGGTCCTACTTTTTCTACCAGCATATTGGTACATATTGCTGCCTGGAAGATTAGCAGTGGGGTTAAAGACTGTAAGAGTCATTATAATTTCTTCTTCCCTTTCTCCATTGACTTCACCTCTCAACTATAATATTAGGACACATAATAAAAGTCTGGCTTGCTTTAACATTCCCACTCATTCTGGGACATCTTTAACTTTAGCAAATGCCCTGTCAGACTATGCTCCTGAGAAAAAGAAGTCAAAGAATTTTCTACTCTGCCTCTCACAATTTAAAAACCAGTGAAGAGGGGGCCTTGCGCTGGAACAGACTGGATGGGGGCAGCAAATCAAACAGGTCTCTCCAGGGGTGCGGAGGATCTAAATCATTGTTTCTCAAGCTTGGCAACTTTAAAATAGGTGGACTTCAACTCCCAGAATTCTCCTGCCAGCATGGCTGGCTGGGAAATTCTGGGAGTTGAAGTCCACCTACCTTAAAGTTGCCAAGCTTGAGAAAGACTTATCTAGAGACTGCCTTGTGAGAGTCAGGGGCAAAGTCCACCACGTCTCCAAGTGTGTTATGTGCTTGCAAGCAGACTGCGCCATTACAGAAACTATCTAAACATGGACCTGGAAGCAGTCTTTTAATGGTGGGAGACTTAAGTAATGACTTGAGTGGCTCAATCAGGAGTTTTCAAACTTTTTCAGGCCACAGGACCTGTTTGTTAAGGAAAAAAAAAAAATCCTGGAACCCCTGATCAAGGGGCAAAGCTCTAACAATAGAAAATTGGCTGCCTCTAAGTGACTTTTGAAACATTTGTCCTTAATCTCTTCCAGCAGAACCCCATCAAGTTCTTAAGGAACCCTGTGGTTCTGCAGAGCACAGTTGGAAAAACCCTTAACAAGCTGGTGCAAGCTATTTTCCAAGGCATCACTGAAGATTATAAAAAGTAAGATAGGAATCCAAAACTCACCGTCATTGTTAAATTCTACCCAGGTACAGGTGATGCCACCGTTAGGGATACTCTCACTGAAACGTAGCAAGAAGGTGCCCGCTCTTTTCTTCTTCAGCAAATGCTTTTCACGTTTGCGGCTGACAAATCCCATGATGAGACTAGTCAAATGTGGGAACGGGGAAGATATATAATCAGGAAAAGTCACTCATTCTCCCTTGCTTTCCCAACAGCTTTGGTTTCATCTCTTCCTCACTGTATCTTTTCAAACCCTGGTTTGTGCATGCAGAGTCATTGTTAGGAAATTGGTGCTCCAGGCAAAAAACCACTAAACACTCTGCCCTTCTCTGGCTTCTGCAATTTCAGTTAAGCTCTAGGACAGTGTTTTTTATATTTGGCAACTAATATGTGCAGATTTCAACTCCCACAATTCCCAAGCCAGCATGCTGCCTGGGGAATTCTGGGAGTTGAAGTCTACACATCTTAAAGTTCCCAAGTTTGAAAAACACTGGTCTAGGACAATGCGGTGCTGAAAACTATGGGGAAAAACTGTATCTCAGGCATGTGCAAAGTCCCAGCCTCCCTGGGTAGGGCTATGAAATTCTCTTCCCAAATCTGGGAGAGATGCTGCCCCTACCCCCTGATACTTGGGACTATCCCCCTAACAAACAATATATGATTTGACATTTCCCCAAAGGCTAGCAATAATCAAGATGCCCTCATTTTTATCACTTTTTTCTTTCTCCCCCTCTTTACTTGTTCTTCCAGAGCTGAAGCAGATGCTCTTGAATCAGGAGCAGGATCCCATCAATCCAGGTCCAGAAAGAGAAGCCAAAATTATTCTCTTGTGGCTCCGCAGTCACTTCCTGGGGAAAGAAGAGAGGACAGATAAACAAGGATGCTACCAGCTGGATAGGAGACACCCTGGAGAGCTGATTCTGGGACAACCCCTTACCTTTGAAAACTGGGCCCATGTGATGATACTCTGTGAGTTCACACCTGGCCCTTTGATGGGAAGAAAAAGCGAGAAGAAAACTACGTAACTGTCTTGATAAGGATATGCGGCTGAGCAGGACATAATCATTTCTTTCAACACTGCCATCCCTTGCCTCACTTTAGAAGGAGAATGGAAATTGCTGGGGAGCAGAACTGAAGACCTTGAGCCAGTGTTGTCCAAACTTGGCCACTTTAAGATGAGTGGACTTCAACTCCCAGAATTCCTCAG